CATCCGGAGCCTGTGCTCCGCAACGAGAGAGGCCACAGCAGTGAGAGGCCCGTGTACCGCAAAAAAAAAAAAAAAAAAAAAAAAAAGGGCATAATAACCAATACGAGTCATGATTCTTGATGCTACCAACTGAATCCAATCCTGGCTAGCAAAGGAATTTAGAAAGATATTGGTAGCTCACAGAGTCGATGAGAAGAGGCTGAAGGACCCAGTTTAGAAAATGGCAGAAACCAAGTTATAACTTGAGACAGTCCAGTGCTGTTGCCCTTGTCACTGCCCCTGTACACTTGAAGCCACGAAGTACTTGCCACCATACTATTCCTGGACTCTCAGTGCTTCAATTGCCTCTGAGTAAGTCACAACTGGCCCTGCATCTTGTATCACACCCCTAGGATCCAGAATCCTGGGCAGAATCATGCATTCGGCCATACTTAGGTCAAGTCACATGTCTGTACCATAGGTGTCAGGGAGAAGGGGCAGAAGAAATATCTGCCTCCATGCTCAATAGAAGGGGAATAGAGTTCTGTGTCCTCGTGAGACCCACACATTCGGGCATATCCCCCAAACGGGAAAGGTATTGGGTGCTGGAGAGTCAAAAGATGACAAGTATTCATTACACAATCCCAAAGCTGACAGAATTAAATGAGATAACCGGAGTAAAGCACCTGGCACACAGTAGAACTTCAATCCATGGAGGTCACTCCTAGTGCTGTTATAATTGTGGTCTCCAAGCTCATGCTTAGACTAGGAGCTCAGGGAAGCACACACCTCAGACACAGGGAGAGCACCTGAGGAATGCTTGGGGCCCAGCTGACTCATAGAGCTTTTGAACCACTTGCTTCAGACACACCTGGGCTGCTTGTTAAAGTGCAGGCTCCTGGGCCCTCTCCAGACTTACCAAATCAGTATGTCTGGGGTGGAGCCCAGGCACGTGTATGTTTTCTAAGCGTCCCGAGTGATTCAGCCACATGCCCATCCCTGAGAATTGTGGTGTGGCATAACATGAAAGATGGTGGGTCATCAGGAAGGCTTGACTCGGGCCTCAAGAGGCAAGTCAAATCTGGATGCACAGTGTCAGGCAGGCAGGGATAATGGTAGGAGGGGTTGTGGAATGTAGTGGTCAGTGGTCAATGATGAGAATGTCTTGGTGGCCTGAGGAAGTGAGTGGAGCAGAGGTGGGACATCAGATGGGTGGGTCTAGACTTGCTCCGGTGGAGAATGGGGAGCTACTGAGTGTTGCCCAATTGGGCTGTGACAAAATGAAAGCGGGAAGGAAGATGTCACAAGGGCAGTGATCTCTCTTTTCTCCTTCTGCATTTTCCTGAGCTGCCCCCTCTCATCACATTTTCCTCAGGGTTTCTCAACTGCAAACTGACAACCAAGCCTCTCAGGGAAGATGGAAAACACCCAAGTGGGGCAACATCCTCGAGTAAATGGAAAAGGCACTGAAGCGACTGGCACACAGTGGGTCCAGGGAGCAGGACGGAGTGGAGGGGAAGGGCTCTGCGGGTGGCTGTGGCTACCGCTGCTGCTCTAGGTCTCAGGTAAGGAGAGGCCGGGAGAGGGATGTAGACGGCCAAGGGGAGGTACCTACTAAGAGGGGTATTCTCTGATTTCTTAAGGAGGGACTGGAATGAGATCAGGGTATGTACGTGTTAGAGACAGGAAAGCAAGAAAGGAAGGTCATGAATGCGGACTGTGCTGGGTGACCCCGTCCCGTCAGGGACTGGATGATGAAACAGAAGGTGGACGTTCTTCTAGAGCATCTTGAGGTTGAGAAAATTATGTGAAGTCAAACAAACAATCTCTCATCGCTGTGCTGATATCCTGGGAGATGTAAAGAAGTGTAAGGCAGTCTCCCCCTAAAGGCATCGGGCACTAAGGCATAGGAGCATTAATAGAGGAAAAGGCAAATGATGACAAAAGGGTCAAGCAGCAACATGAACCCTTGTTCACGGTGGAAGTCACCCTAGCAAGCCACAGAGAGGGGATGTGGACAGAAGGTAAGGGCAGACAGAGCTGGGTTCAAATCCTATCTCTACCATTTTCTACCTATGTGACCTTAGGAAGTCCTCTCTCCTCTTTGAACTTCATTTTCGTCATTTGTAAAGAGTACCCACTCAGGAGTGTTCATTTGTAAATGGTACCTACTTCAGAGGGTGTCCTGAGAGTTTAAAAGCAGACC